CCCCCTTCCCTGCTTTCTCGCACATATTATTAGCTCCTATCGGATTTTACACCTATCCATTTATGTATAAATGGTCACAGTTATGCAAGAATTATTCAATCTATACAAAACTCTGATTTTTTAAATTTTTGTCTTACCAATGGACAATCCATTGTAAAATTTGTGATGAGCGTATCTTCAGACTGTTATCAAGAAAATATTCCTTGTAGAAGACAAGCGTTACTTAAAAGAAAGAGCTAAGGTCCCAGTGGTCGAACATACATGTCCCAATGATTGACATATTGGTTTTGTATTTTTCTTTGTTGAAATGCTTTTCAATATACAAAACAATATAATAAATGAAAAGAAATATTTAGTTACTTTGTGATTTTGTTTCATTTATTGATAAGCATCCTAACAAACACAAGTATATTATTAGTAATTCAATTATCGGTACACGTTCAATCACTAGGACGTTTACCTTATTGATTTTTTAACAACAGAATATTTTTCTCTGTGTATACTTTTTAAATCATATATCAAATTATCATCCTCATCTTTTTCAAGATGTGGATTGAATCATCTTTGCATGACTAACGGCTGAATGATGAACAGATACGACAGACTTATCTTTTCTTCCTTTTCTCTCCTTCGGCACGGTATTTAATGGCGATAAGGCTTAATTGCATTTGCCGTCAAGTACCGACGATGGGACGCGCATTATCGTTCATGTATTATCTCTTTCGTGAAAAATGCACAGGCCCATGCTCGATAAAACAGTAATTCACACGGACACGAGTCCCCCATAGTATCACTAAAGGCTTTTCGTAGCGCGCTTCCTCTAACGATCGTTTTACGTTTCCGAATGCCATTAGGGTATTGCCGATAACGTCTTTCGCTGTTTCCTGATACCGTCCATCCATAAAGATGGATCCTCCTTCTCTCTCATAGCGTGATTATATTATCGCAAGGAAAAAACCGTTGTTTACGTAAATAGCATAAATGACTCACGTCACGTTGAATATTTATGGTCCGGAAAAAGGAATATCACCGAGGAAAATATCAGTGCTAGAGTATGCTTTAGGAAATCCAACTTGTTCTCCCGGAGCTTTTTTTCCACGACCAAAGAAGAGGAAGTTTGTTTCAGCCGCGTTACAATTTATCTCTCTTCCGTCGCGTCAACACAATCAGGGAATCACGTGAGACGAATAGTTGTGTTTCCTCTGAGCCGCAAACACACGTGCGTCACGTCGAGCGAGAGACAACGACGTGTAGGATGCAATACGGGAAAATGAGAAACAACGCAGGTCCGCAATCGCTCTCGACCTCGTTGCCGGAGAAGAAATACCGAGTCCGTGCGATACGCGAAATACTTGATATCGTTCAAAGGTTAGCATTTCCATTCCCGCCGCCCTTCCTGTCCGCCCACCCCGTCTTCCATCGTTTACGCGTTCTCTCCTCAGGCCGGCTTCTCGTCGTGAGTACACAAAAAGACAAGCGGGAAGACGAAGGTTGGAGAAGCGACCGGGACTGACGCTGCCTCCGCCGTCTCTTGGCCGAGAGCAGAGTGGTAGCCGCGGCGACGACCGTCGCACTAAAAACACGGAAATATTTTTACGGCGACGACGGCGTCGGAACTTTTGTTCCTGCTACGCTTCTTCTCTCATCGTCGCACTCCTCTTTCTCTCTCTCTCTCTGTCTCTTTCTCTCTCACTCTCGCCCACCAGGCTGCCCTGCCCTTTCGCCGGTTTCTCCCACCTCGCGGTTTCGACCCTCGCGCCGTGCCCCCACCTTCGCCCTCTTCCCTCTCCCGCCGGGAACCACCCCACCACGGGCGTTCGCTCTCTCCCTCATTCCCGTCATATCTCGCGTGCGAGCAGTAGACATGAATCGACGACGGACTCTCGAGCGTGTTTTCGTGCGAATACGCGACTCCAGCGCGCCTTATATCTACGATCTGCGAGAGGAGAGCCTCTTCTGCTCGTAAGGTTAAAAGCGTCGCTTCGCACTGCTGCGCGATCGTTGGCGCCGCCGTCGCCGCCGCCGCCGCCGCCGCCGCCGCCGCCGCCACTGCCGACGCCGTGCTTCTTACATTGTAACGCGACGGCTCGGTTGCCTTCAAGCGGCAGTTGCTTCCCGACGACTCGAACCGACGCTCGCGCTCTCTCAACAGCGGTGTGTGCGTGTGTTCTATTACGTGCGTGTAGTGTAGTGACGATCATCCCAAAGGCGTCAGTCGCGTCGCGCCACGTCGTGTCGATTCACAACAACGTAGCTAGCCGGTCACTCTTTCCCTTCCCCTCGACGGGAAAGCTGAGCGGCCGCTTCGTTCATCCGCTTGGTAGCCGTTGATTTACGCGATAGTAGTGCGCGCCGAACCACGTGCTGTACGGTCCTGAAAGTAATTATTGCCTCTGTGTGTGTGTGTGTATATCTTCGTGTTTACGGGAGACCCGAGTCACGCGCGCATCCACAACAGTAGACCGTGTTAGAGACACGAGCTCTCCGCGAATGTGTTCTACACGGATACACCGCGGGCTTGTCTTTGCCGTGCGGTTCTCGACTACGCTGCGGGACCGGCGAAGTGAGTAGAAAGGTAGGCACATCGGTGGCTTCTTCATCCTCGTGTCCGGTACGTCACACCGGTCTTCGCGGTTTCGACGAAACGTCCCGCTCCGCCACAACCGCGCACGATCCCTTGGCGATATTGTCGAGATTGAGACAACCGTGTTCTGTTTACGATCGCTGCGGCTTGAAATCTCTCCTTTGTTTACCGTACAGACGACACCGTGAAATGTGCGGTGTCTGTGCTGCGCGACGCGCCACGAAATCGCGCGCAACCGCGACTTTTACGTCGCGTGCTTCCTGCACGACGCCATGGAAAGAGATGTGTAAACGCAGAGCTGTAGTTTCAAGTCTGATCCACCCGGTTTACCTTTTCCTCGTAGCTGCGATCGTAGATAGCTGTACGGTTCGATGTTTGTTTCCCGTCGTGTCAACGGTAGCTGATAGATCACCTGGAGCGACTCCCTCGAGCGGTGTTTTGACGAAAATTCAACACTCTACTAAATATATAATGGCAGTCGCTTCTTTGTGGCTTGCGCGTGTTTTAACGATTCGTCGCGAAAGCGACTGCGACATCTTGTCACGTGTGCGGTAGGTAGTGGAATGTGAGGCCAAGGTACAGACAATCTGTGTTCAGTCGCTGTACAACATAACACACATACGCATGGTTTAGACTACGTGAGAGATAAGTTTGTGCAAACATCACGTACGGAGCACGCGAGGATACGAGCTTAGGGACAATACATAGAAATGACACGTACACACGGAGAGGACGTAACATGGTGGATCTACCGCGTAGATTTAATTATATGGTTCACAATGTACAACTGCCGGCGCAAATGAAGAAACTTCGTTTTTATGCGCGGCTAACGCTAACTCAAGGCGACGCCTGCGGAGGTACGGTCTTAATCGTTTGCTTACGTAGCGAATCCGAGCCACGTCGAGCTGTCCACTCGAGAATTTTAGTATCGAGACACGTTGTCAGTGGGAAACGGCCGGAACTCCGTCCTTCTCCGATTTCGATGAGCTCGGGGACACGTTTTGGCGCGGCTCGAAATAAGAGACAGGCAACTACAAGTGTGAGCCGGCGCGCGAAGTTAACGAATTGGAAGATGGAACCTCCCCTCCCCCCGCTGAAATTAGCTCGATAATTTACAGGCATTTCACACTCGCGCGACTCGACTTGTGAGAATTCATAAATTTACATTCGGGATTCTCTCGGAAGTCTCTCTTTTCCTCTAAGTAGGTTGCTTATTGCTTCTTTTAAAGGAGAGAGAGGAGGACGTTTAATAATCTTCAACATCGCGCGGCGCGATGTTTGACCTTTGTAGAATACCGAAGTTACAGAAGACAAGATAATGTACTTTACTGTATAATTATTGAACGAAGTTGAGTAGCGCTCGTTTAGTTTTATTTCTTAATTGAATCTCCAGAGACCACGCAGGAAACTCAGAACTACAAGTTGAAAGAGTGAAGAAATTTTGATTCAACTCAGATTCAAATTACGAAAAGCTGTTAAAAAAATGTCTCTTACATTTTACAGTCTCAATGATATGTTCTGTTGGAAATTCAGTGGATCAGACGGTCTTCCCTCTGAAACTATGCGGACAGCGCAGCACGAACAGCACGCGCAAAAGTAGCCTTATCTCTTATTTCGAACTACTCGCGTAAACATATCCGTGGCGCGAGAAACCGACGAGGGGGGACAGTTCGGGACACAGTTTCTCGCGCGGACGTAATTCGAGGTGAACTCTCCGGGAAAATCCTTCTCTACGGGGAGTTAGCTGCATTTGCGCGTTTCACCGACGGCTGCCCCGACAATTCCGGAACGCGTTTTCCCGGACAGAGAATCCGGGGAAAACGTGTGCAATGTCTGATTATGTATCTTACGAGACACGAAGTGTGTATTGATCTTCGCGCTGCACACGACGAGCTACTTTTCTTGCATTGTGCATAAGTCAATTTGCAGATTTTTAATTAATATAGATGTCGAACGATTTGTATATTTTTCTCTTTTTCCGCCGTGCACGCGCGCGCGCGCGCGCGCGCACACACACACACACACACACACACACACACACACACACACACACACATGCGCGCGCGCGCGCGTTGACTAATGATCTCACGTATTTTGGCATGCTGAAGTACGGAGTTGTTGCTGAAGTCGCGAGTTTGTTATTTAATTGGATAATTTGTTCCGTTTTTTGCGATAATAGCTTACATATTTTACCGTCGTGTGTGTACATTAGTCTTATTAATGTGACGATAACCCGAGTTTATCGTATTTTTCTCGTGTCGTTCTAGTCACACGCCTTTAAAATAGCTATTTTTATAAGGCTGTCGGAATAACGGCCGGCGATTCTTTCCTTTTGCTCCTCTCTCTTTCTCTCTCTCTCATTCGCGGGACACGCAATTACACAGTCGAGGAACAAATCGCGCGGATGTATAAATAACGGTGCGCGTGCGCGCCGGGCGAGATCATTTTCGCGGGTGCAAAGATGACGACGTTGAGATATTCCCATCCAACATTGACACTTCTCTCCACCCGCGTCTCCAACGCGGACGTTGCTCTCTTTCTCTCTAATATTAACGCCGGCCGATCAATAGCAGAAGTTCTAATTGAGTCCGCGGGGGATGGGACTTATCGTCGGAAACTCGCGCGTCCTTTTCGCGCATTAACACCGGCGATTATTCAAACAAGGAAACAACGCTGAAACTCGCGAACTTTCGGCGAGGATGCCGAACAATATTTCCACGGTGTCTTTTGCTTTTAACGGAGATTGGACTACTACTACGGCGGTAGCGACGACAGTTGTCTCGTTTTTCCGCGTTGTATATTTACGCTTTTGTAGCGCGTGGCACGCGCGACCGGCGAAAAATATCTCGCGGGGGATCCATTGAAAAGTCTCCTTCTCTCTTTTTTCCGAGTGTTATACGATTGCTCGAGGACAAAATATGCGTTCCGAAAATCGTCGACGCCGTAAACTCCTCCGGGTAGGTTCCGTTATGAATGAGGCCACGTGACGCACGAAATTCGTCAGTGATCGCGCGGTGTCTTTAACGGCGCGGCGCGCCACTAATAGAACCTCGAAATTGAGTCTACGAAAATGCCTCTTGTCGTGCAATACGGCCGCAGCGGGAATGTATTATCCCTAACGGCGCTTTGTATTCAAATACGCGCGCGTCGAACACGACGAAGCATCGTCGAGCATCGTCGAGCATCGAGAAAGCGAGAGAGAGAGAGAGAAAGAAATGGTGCTAGGCGGCTCCGGCGTCGCAGAGAGCAAGGCTACGATTAATATTTTATTGATACGTATATATAACCCGATCGTGTCTAGAGATCGCGTATGCGCCTTTAAATTTCGCAAGAGGCCTCTCCACCCTGCGCCACGCCCCGGTTACACTTGGCCGGCAACGATATCTCACGAGGAGATGAATATTTGAAGGTGGATGCGCTCGTGCACGCGGGAAGCCGACATGGAAATAGCTTCTGCCGCGAAGTAGCACCATGAGGTAGACCGCGACGCGAAATTCCGTAACAATAGCGCACAACGCGACGGCGAATCTCAGAAGATGCTTATGTTGGCAGGAAATATTGTAGGGCTCTCTGCCTCTCTCTGTCCCTCTCTTTCTCCCTTTCGCAGGATACGCGCCAACCAGTAATACAAATATCCCGTCGCGAGTAGTACTTTGGCGAAGTGGTAGGAATTTCCAAAGTTGGAGTTTACCCGCGCGCACTAGAAGGACGTTGCGACGCCGGAAGTGTCTCTCGTCGCGAAGTGGAATTCTAACGATACGGATACTCGCGTATACGTGCGCCGCATCCGTGAAGCGCGTTTAGTGTCGCATATGCTTGTCTAGCTCCAACTTTCGTCCGCACACTGCGGACACGACGCGGGAATTTGCTCTTACGAAATCGGAAGTGCTGTCAGCTTTTCCTTAATATGACAGTTAAAACGTTGCGACGACAGTTGTTACGATGACACGTCGGGAAAAAGAGAGAAATTTATATTCACATTGCAACTAATTGGAGGGTGATTTCTTAATAAAAATCTCATTAGATCGTAGGAAATCTTCCTTGAATACATGAGAATTATTTGTCGCAAACTTTCCCCAATTATTAAATGTCTCGCGATGATACACGGAGAGAATTTTATTGTAAAGATTACTATAGAAAATCTTCTAATTGATGAACAGATTGGCATTAAGATTCTGCAGTAATTGACTATTTCATTTCACGCTAGTTATATTTCATGGATTGTGAGATGTGCTATTGAAAAATTTGCTACGTTTCTAGCGAAGTTTACTATGTTCAAGATAGATTCTACTAACAATTCTACTAACAACAGCACACTGTTGGAAACACGATAAAATTGAAAAAGTTCACGTGAATAAACACAACTTTAACATTCTCCCCGTATAATGAAAGGATCGTACATATGTACTCGATCGGAGTTGCGAATATTTCTTTCCCATAAAGTCGAGCCAAATAATTTACCGAGTTTCGCTTTTATTGCCTGCTATTTATCTCAGTCCAGCGTGCATTAATGCGGATGTAAAAATCCTTTGATCTCGTCGTAACGACTAACTGCACCGTGTGTTTAAGTAAAGAAGAAAATGACAAAAGGGGCGAAGAGGGAAGGCAGGGAGAAAGAGAGAAGAAAAATGCGCGCATTATGATGCGTCTCTACGCGTGCATCGAAACCAAGGATGCGAATACCTGGAGAAGGTGAAGGCGCGTACACGCCGACGCGCTGTGTGTATGTGTGGTACGTGTGTATATCTCGACAGAGAGTATACGCGGCCGTCGCCATCGACTTTACTCCAGTAGTGCGTAGCGCGACGCGACGCAACGTAAGAGCCACGCACTCCGATCTCGGGCAACGGGAACGGGTCGCGTGCGCGTATGCGTGCCTTTGAAATAACTGGGATTCCATTGCGAAAGTGTGTGCACGCCAACCTGTTCGAAGGTGGGACGGAATAAACGAAGGAACGAACGAACGAACGAAAGGCGCGTGGTGGGTCGCTTATACGAACGCGCGCGCGGGAACCTCTCCTTCTCGCTCTCGTCGTCGTTGTCATCGTCGTCGTCGTCGTGCTTCTATAATTTAACCTTCATCGAAGCGCGCGATTTGTCTGCCTTCCCGCGCGGGCCAGTTTCGCGCGACACCGAACGACCTTACGCACCTCACCCTATCCCTATCGGCACGCCGAGTCGACTCGCGGTTACCACGATCGTCTGTAAAGCCAGAATCACACGATGCACGATTCCTCATGCCTTCCTTTACCGCGCACGCCGGCCACGACAGTTCAGTCGCGCTGGATGAGCGCGCCATCGCGCGGCTGGAAGATCTGTGCGGCGTTCTGTTTCCGATCAGCATGCGTGCAAGAGGCGGCACGAAATCGTGCGTTCCTAGCTTAGTTACGAAAAGCCGGCCCGTGCGTTCGCAGGTACGGCGGTACTTACGAGTTGGCCTCGCGCGAAATCCGATTCGTTTCGCGATCGCGGCAACGGCTCTACCGCGCGTGAAAACCACGTTTTGCCACGTGCAAAATTCACTTTCGCTCGAACGGTGTGTCCGTCTCGTGCCATAATATTGTAACGGGACAAACTCCCGGCGAGCGTGAATATTACATTTGCATCGTGCGTTTGTCGAGAATTTATTCGATAATAATGGGACGTGGCCGAGTGTGCGCGCCTCGTCGCGATATTCAATTTCGCCGGACCTCAAAAGCGACCGCGCGATTGAAAATTAAAAGGATAACGACAAACGGGAAAATTATACGTGTCTCGCTGCTGTCGTTCGGCGGACTTGTCAAAGCGAAGTATGATCACGTTCGTGGTAAAGGCGATACGTGACTTCGCATGTAATCGTTATCTCAAAAAATCTGACTTTTCCGCGGAACATCATAATTCAATTACCGAGCCGCGAAATATGATCACGCTCTGAACGTACGATTTTAAATTTCAACGTCGGATGTATACACGCAGAAAAATAGCTATGTGAACCTGGCACCCGACTTTTGAAAAAATAATTTTTTTCTACGTAAAAAGTTAGCATTTTGTTTGTAGTTGTTTGTAGTAACAATAATTTCGTTTGTAGTTCCATCCATTAAAAATTATAGAAATTTAAAAAAATGAGTAGCACCCCACTTTGAGATATCTCAAATCTGCAAGCGGGTGACGTTTCTAAATCGTTTGTAGTTGTTTGTAGTGATTTTCGTTTCGTTTGTAGTCGAACCGTTCAAAAGTTACAACAATTTAACAAAACGCGGAAGAGCCAACTTTGCCATTTTTTGAGATATCTCAAATCTGCAAGCGGGAAAATTTTTGGGAAGTTTGTAGTTTGCAGTGTTTTCTATTTTGTTCGTACTCAAACCGTTCAATACATAGAGCGGTTTCAAAAACGGTCATGTGCAAATTGTGCCGTTTCTTCAATACTTGCGAAATACGTAATACAACTCCCTTTTAGCATTACCCGGAACTAACGACGAGGATGTTGGGAGTTTATAGTTCCATCTTTTTCATTTTTATTTATTTTTTTTTATTTTTTATTTTTTTTTATTTTTTTATTTTTTATTTTTTTGTTTTTTGCGTTTTATTTTTTATTTTTTTGTTCCAGTATTTTTTCCTTTTTTTATATTCTTATAACTGCACGAAAAGAAAAGAACAGAAAAATTGAACCGAAAAATTAAAATTCACAAAATATTGGCGTTTTTAAGATTGTACATAAAACAATATATGTATTTTTTTTTTCTGCAATGTTTCACGTACAGTAACTAGGTGGGGTTTTTTATCGGTTGCTATATCGTTATATATTTCCCACCGATTATAAATTTTGCGAATATATGCGATATAGTGGCCTATCGTAGAACCTGGGACGTATATTATTGCTCCTACAAGTTTGTACTCTTTTTGTAGCAATTGTATTTCCGTGGGCAATTGTGCTAAAGTAAATTGTTTTTCCGTTTGAGGATAACCAAGGCGTAAAGCTAATTGCTCATTTTCTAGACATTCTATATCGATAAATAAGTGCGGTCCACCAGTGCAAGTTACACTTGTTGTACTTCCACAAGAACTGCACATATGATTTTTCATGTCGCAGCACTGATCAACTGCTTCTTGCAAACCATTTATACCATGTTCATAAAATGGTATTGTACTTACATTTAATATAGAAGTTATATGTTTCTTTTGGAAGCCACAATTATTACACAAGAAAATAAATTCAATAGATGGCACATTATGCATTAGGGTTGCAGATATTATAGACGATACGTTCATAGCGCAGTCTAGAACATTATCCTTCAGACGAACAATGCTGCTTATTATTTGTGCTCTTACGTTGTATGTTTGTTGCGTAACTCCTGTTGAACATACAGTTTGAACTAATTCGAAAGTTGGATTAGCAAATTCAGTTATATGTTTGTTGTAGTTGGGCCAATTGCGATAGCCGCCAATAATACATTGTATTACTGTATCAAAGGGACACGTGTTCCTTATAATTATGTGTCTATTTCCCATCTTAATAGGATGTAAGGAGTTACCATTAATCAATAATGGTGTGGCATATTTAAATTTAGGTCTTTTATGCATATGTTCAATTTCTGGACACGCTGTTAAATATTTCCCCCGTGGTTTTTTTACCTGCTTACGCTTTTTCCATGTTTCTGTTTCATTTAAAAATGAATTTATAAATTTATAAATGGCAAAGTTGGCTCTTCCGCGTTTTGTTAAATTGTTGTAACTTTTGAACGGTTCGACTACAAACGAAACGAAAATCACTACAAACAACTACAAACGATTTAGAAACGTCACCCGCTTGCAGATTTGAGATATCTCAAAGTGGGATGCTACTCATTTTTTTAAATTTCTATAATTTTTAATGGATGGAACTACAAACGAAATTATTGTTACTACAAACAACTACAAACAAAATGCTAACTTTTTACGTAGAAAAAAATTATTTTTTCAAAAGTCGGGTGCCAGGTTCACATAGCTCAGAAAAATATCATTCCACGCTGAGAGAAACGACTAAACAAGACTCAGTTTATTTTCCTTCTTTTGAGCAACTATTATCTTTAGCAAAGAATATTTTCTTGATAAAACAGTCTTCACAGATGTGCTCGTTAGAAATTTTGCAAAAGCTCGTTATATTTAATATAACAAGCTTTTGCAAAATTTCTGACGAGCACATCTGTGAAGACTTGTTTTAATCAAAATTTGTATGTAATTGTAAAGAGAATAAATTATTTTTCCGAATATCTACTCGGAACAATAATTTATTCTCTTTACATTATCAAAAAAACTATAAAAAAGCCATTATCCAACTTTATAGCAATAAACGAACCGAATTTTATTTGTTTTAATATTTTGGATTAAATTTGGATTAAATTTGGAATGAAGAAATTTCATGCTTATGCTGAACTAGATATGTTTACGAATACAGTGGTCTGTTCTTTTCGGCTGCACTGCTGAACTGGTGCAATAAATTAGAGTGAGACAAGTATATTTTTTCTCATTCTAACTTATTGCACCAGTTCAGCAGTGCAGCAGAAAAGAACAGACCACAGAAAACTACAGAAACGAACGAGGAGCAACTCGAATGCAGGGTGTAGTTTTCCGTGCGTCGTGTAGAATCCTCTGGATCAATTTCGACCTGAAAAACTCAAACGGCATTGCAAGATAAGATCCAGTTTCTTTAAATATATGATAGCCGACCCAATTTCCGCACGCGAGCGAAAGAAGTGCGATTTTATCGAATAAATTCCGCTCAATCGCTCTTTGCGCGAATTACATTATCGTGTCGTGATATATCGACTGTAACTGAAATATCATTTAAGCGTAATCAATTTATTTAGCGCCAATTAGCCCAACGGGTCGAGATATATCATCCGTATCGTTCAACGAACTAACAAACGAGCTCTCAGTCGTGCGAACGGCGACGTATCTTCCTAGAAAATACCATTTCAAAAACTACTCGCATCTAGCAAGGCAAACATCAAAGATACCAATCACAAAACAAACTTGTTTGGTAGTTTGCTGTCAAAAGGTTTTCTCACGTGTTACGCATATACCGTAACACGTTCAATGTCGACATATCGCTCATTGATAACTGCCTCAGAGAGGAAATTGAGAAACGCGCGGCGGCGGCAAACCACGGCAAGAAACGAGACGGTGGAGAGGAGAGGAGAGAGGCGGAGGAGGAACCTCTCCGCCGTATATACTACGTCGCAGATCGAACGCGTCGGAAAACGAAAAGCGCTGCCGCCTCGTGTTTCGCAAGCCTGTATTATTAAGCCCGTGGAGTCTACCGCGCAAGCGGTAAACAAATTTCGTTTATTTCCATTCTCTCCTCTCTCTCTCTCTCTCTCTCTCTCTCTTTCTCTCTCTCTCTCTCTTTTTCTCTCTCTCTTTCTCAGAAGCCGCGCGTCGCCGTCTAAACGTCCAGGCAATTAAGGACACGTCATGGCTTGTTCAATAGTAATATTAATATTGCGCGAGCGCGCCTATTACGCAAGACCATAATTGCTCGGAATATTGCGCGATTGAACGTCGCCTGGTAGTCGGTCGTTCGCTTGCTCGTTCCTTTGATCGATCGATCTAATTCGATCGATACCCGATAAGCATTCCGTTTAACTCACTCTCTCACGACCTTATCTCATTTGGTGTGTGCAGTGATTTCGGACTATCGGCATGGCAAGTAATGTGGGACATGCTGGCGGCAGTGCTCTACCAGTAATTGTGTTATCGACGCATCGCCATCGACGTTGGCCTGCAGTACTTTTAGCGGGAACGCTGCGCTGTATCTACGACCCACGTGAGTACTCACGAAATCATTTCCAAGAGCTCCCTTCTGCGAGACCCTTTCGAGAGCAATGGGCCATGTCGGCCCTCTTTGAGGACATGTACCTCGATTATCTCGCTTATTACACGATAGAGGGTCCAGGCATACACACACACGGTTCATGTAGGGTGTTCTGAGGCCATCATTATTTTTGCAAGACTCGGTACGAGTCAGCGAAGGAGGAAAGAAATCGACGACGCGATTAATTCGACCTCACCGTCGTGTCGCTGGTGGCGCGCGAAAAGGAATCGCGCGACGAAGCAACCTTGACCGTGTACAAGGTGTTTCATACACACACACTGAAAGAAAAAATAGTCTAACGAAAATTATAGTTGTTTTTGGCCCCAACTGAATATGGTATTTGTACTCATAAAATTGTGGTAGCATTATATATAAGATTATACAGCAGATTTAATTTAAAAAAATAATTCTCTTGACTATAAGTTATACTAATTATTTATGTGTAATTGTAAGTATAAATAACAAACATTTCTTTTCTCAGTGTACCGAGAAAATTAGAAATATTTATTCGCCATGAGTACTATAATAACTAATATTTACTTGTACACTGAGAAAAATTTACTAAATTTAAAAAAACATTTGTTTGGATAGTACTGTGAAGATATTTGTTTAAATTAAGTAATTATTTTCTAAAATTAAATAAAGAAGTTTTAAATATATAAATTTGTTTCTTTAATTTTAGAAAGTAATTACTTAATTTAAACAAATATCTTTACAGTACTATCCAAACAAACGTTTTTTTAAAATTTAGTTTTTTTTAAATTTTTTGCTCAGTATACTAATATATACTTTACTACTATATTTACTTGTACCAATATATACAGAACTTTACATTGAGAAAGAAATTTCAAGTTAGATACGTTAATACGTTAAGTTATTTAAGTTAAATACGTACTAGTACCCGTAGTGAATAAATATTTTTATATTTCAGATGTTTTTTTCTCTCACAATGTACACGGTTTTGCTTGTGAGCACTTTGATAAGTTTGAAGTTGATTGTCGGAAGTTTCGACACGGTGCACACGAATTTTAACATCTCAAAGCAATCATTGTGAGATGTCTCGACGCTAATTAAATCGTAGAGTTGCGAACGAACTTTGGTGTTGAACGGAACTTTTGGGTATCGCGAAACACCTTGTGCACTTCCTCACGAGACCGAGACTTCCTGCGAGTTTCTGCAGACGAATCGAATATGCGCTCCTCTGCACTGCACGAGATTTCGCTCCGTAACTTCTTGCATCGCGCGTAGGTGTGCTTCATGCATGACGTGCCCCTAATGGCCGTTCCGCAGAATAGTTGAGGCCGATATTCGATTACGGATCGTTGAACGATCGAGTTTTGTATGCAAACATGCCGCGAGCCGAGCTATTTTCGCGTGTTATTTGAAAAGCAAACAATTTGCTTTGCGCGAGCGCTGGCACGATAAAAAATATCACAATATGTGACCCGCCATAGCTTCTGTAACTTAGGCAAAAAAGAGGAAGAGAGCCCAGTTGCGGTTTTACGCGAAACATACGTGCCGTTCCTTCTCTATATTCCACTTTTTTCTCCCCGTTATGAATGAGTCTCCCGTCAATTTTGCACTTGAGTCAATCCACCGGCATTCCCGCAACTTGTGGATCGTCACTCGACATTTGCTGCGAGAACGAATATATCGAAATACGCGAAATTAAGAATATGTTGGCTAAAATTCCTCTGATCAGAGTTAGGACAATACATAGAGAAGAGAATATAGTAACTCGTCCTAATTGTTCCACATTCTGTCCGTCATTTTTAGGAATAACGTCAGTGGAAGTGAGAAAGAAGTTTTAAGACTGAAGTGACCGAGGAGAGATGAAGATCATACAGTCAATACGTCCTCTCTTTCTCTCACTCTTTTGTTTTCCCCATATTGCCCTCTTCTACTGTACTGTGAGACAGAGAAAGCAACTTACTCGGTATATTTATGTCCTTCGGTCTTGGCTTCAGCCGCACTCATATGAATGCGTAGTCTATTTTACAAGTGGAAATGACGAAGCACACTACGGTTTCTCGTTCACTCACTCACTCATTTCCTCTACAAATGGCGGGCGGTGTCCTAACTCTGACTCGAGGGACTCTAAGCCAAGAAAAATACTGATTTCCGGGATAATTTTGTGCGGAAAAGAGAACCGTCTCTCTAATGTGCTCGAGTTCACAAAAAGCAGGGCTTCGAATCTTTCTTCGTCCTGCCGACGTGAGATCGGCTTCAAGAAGGATGACGCATGCAAATACTGTTTCCTCTCTATCCCTATTGTGCAAATGAAACGAGCGACTGGGAAATTGATGATGTAAAACTCGGTACGCCAAGATGGCGTCATAATGACCACCTCCGATGTGCGCCGATGTGTATACTTTGCGAATGTGAGAGTTCGAATTACCAGCGACAGAGTGACCTGTTTATCTGTTTGTCTCCGCATTAGGCGTGTTTACGTTGAATCACTGTAATTTTCCAATTATTTCCCAATCCCTGGGCGTATTCGATCTTTCTCCGCGCCGACCGGAGCGCACCGTCGGTTCGAACGTCGCACCCACCGCTGAATTACCCATCGCGAAAACAAATTAGCGCGTTTAAAGGCGCACGCGCCCGAGACGAGAGATATCCCAGGGGCGCTGATCGCGAGACTGCCCATTATTTGCGCGAAATAAAGAAGAGAGAAAAACCTCGTTGTTTACGACGGGATCCCTCCGATCGGAAAATACCGCGGGACTAAAGTTCTGCAATTCGTTATCCGACTTATTTGTGCGCGTCATATATACGTCACTCATACCTATACGTTTACCTATACTTAACTCTTCCCATACTTACCCATACTTAATTTATTCGACATTCGTTATAAAAGCAACCTGACCTATCCACTTTTATTGACAAAATATATAAAATCAATAAAATTAGATAGATCAGGGGTTCTTTTTATAACGAACATCGGATGGCTTATGTATGGGTAAACGTACAGCTACGAGCAAGTTGGATATACGACGCACAAATTGGAACGGATGTAAGTCGGATAATGGGTAGTATCTGCAGAACTCCGGTGTGTATCTCTGTAAAATTGGCTCGTCGCGCTACCAAGGAAAAAGAATATCGTTTTCTTTTTTTTTTTTTTTATTATCCCGGATTTCCGCCTGAATTTGATATGTCTTGGAACTGCGCGGTTCGACGGTTCACGGGCACGGAATCTGTTTTACGCCATTGTTGTGGGCTGTTGCGTCATGCGGCTACCGAAATCACTTGAGTGATAAGGTACAGTTTGCGCCGTGACTAACGACGAGCGCTCGCGATTCCACGTGAGTGAATTGTGAAGAAATTCGCTGATTGCGGCGGGCCGGGGAGGTGCGATCGATTTGCGGTTTCGCGTTACTGCTGCGCAATTCACGCTCGCGCGCGACTCCATGATACGATTTTGCATTCGCGCTCTTCACGTGCGGGATAAACGCGAATATTCATTACAATCTCATTTAAATTGAGATAGATTAATGCGTGGTAATTAGCGGCGTTTCAATTACGGTGTTTTAATTAACGACAAACGGCGTTCGTCGGTTTGTTGCGAGAGCTGCGGAGCGCTCGAACAGGCGGATTTAAATAAGAAAGTTTAACGAGCTGTCGTCGATTAAGGAACAAGGTTTAGCGCCCCTCGACCGTGTGCTCTCTTTGCGCTCAGAATTAGCGAGTAAGAAAGAGAGAGAAAAAGAATCGGGTTAACAGCCGTTACTTGAAACATACCTCAGGTGAAATACACAGATTTGAATTAAAGCCAGATGTAAATTTTCAGTTGAATCGCGATTCTGCAAATGTAATGTCCCATATATCATGGGTCTCAAGTAAGAAACTCAAATCTAACTATAAATTTATAGCTGAGTATCTCACACGAGGAACAAGTTTCAAGTAATGACTACTGATACAAACCAGAAAAAGAGAGAGAGCAAGACATAAAGTCACAAGTTCGCTAAAACGCGTCTTTTTATCGTCGATGCGCAGCAAAATGCGAATGCAAATTGCTGTCGTTCGCAGAAATGAGCGTGACGAGGAATGAACGGGCGTCGGAAGCGCGAAAAACGCTCGTCGCCGTGAAACAAGGGAAGTGGAATGCGATCGACGTTGCGTAATCGAGATAAGGAGACAGTACACTGCGTGTTGGCGTTTGTGTATGTGCGTGTGTTTCTGCGCTTGGTAAACGTTGCACAGAATTGAGAGAGAGAGAGAGAGAGAGAGAGAGGGGGGGGGGGAGGGAGAGAGAGAGAGAGAGACACGAAGAACATTATTAGCTCGTAGGCGTCGCGCGAATCGCAAGAAGCGGGTAATAATGAGAAGTTTGTGCCTGCGATACCGTGCCTCTCTCGTGCGCGCACACGAACTGCACCGGTGTCGAGTCTGGAAAAGCGGTAAAACCCGAAAACGCGGTGGAAATGGATAAGAATGGGTCGGGGGAGCCGTAGGCGCGTAGACTCTCTCGAGTGAGGAACTTGCGGAATTCCTCGCCACGATGAATAGAAGTCGGCGTGAAGATTAACTGGTCCGTCTGGACGATACGGAAATAGACCGTCCGGAAGGAGATCGCGGCGAAAAATAGATTGACTACAAGTATATATCCGCTGAATACGATTCTGCGCGGAAATACACTGGCATAAATTAGTCCGGCAGTATCGATCCAGCGGACCTAGTCTTATCATTGCGCGACATTGCGCGGGCCACGATGTGGCATGGATAATAAGACTCGCGATTGATTCGACGAAATTTTGATTAGGGCGCTCTCACAACGAGTGACATGACGTATCGCGTTCTGTTCGAGTTTGGAAACTCGAATTTTGCGAAATGCAAGGCGATGAAAAAAATCGCCGGTTTAACAGTTCCGTTCTAATTGATCTGCTTGCACGCAAAAAGCTGAAAAGAGAATCAAAATCGGCCGCCATCTCGGTCGCCGAGCTGAGGCAAAT